ATTTTTTTTGCTGTACAACATTTATGTAGTAATTTTACAAAATTGGGCATGAAAAATGCTTTAGTAAGTAAGAATGCTGTAGTGAGTTTTAGTAAGTTTAACAATCGGTCAAAGTTTTCAAATGTTATTCTGGCAAAAATTGACAATAGGATCGGAATGAGCCGTTTTTATTGCACTTAGCTTGCTCAAGGAAACGCCAATACCGGACAGGCATTGAAGTTATGCCAGGAGATCTGTTATCAAAACATTAGGAAACTTGACTGTAATTTGCATCTAATTCGATATTTAGAAAAAGCATTATCCAATGAGAAACCAGAGTTTTTTTGAAGTGGCACGGAATATTCCGACGAAGCGGTTTGTCTCGACAGCGGTGTTTCGGAAGCATCAAATGCAGTCTGATACACGGATTTAAACGTTTTAGCTCACTGGATCCTAACGAGGTGTTATCCTAGCTGATTATGAGCTCCAATTTGCTACCCACTTCACCGTAACGACTATTTCTGGCAGCAGGACGTAAAAACGTGAAACGAAGACGTTTCATACGTGCATTTATAGAGCTCAATGAATTTTGCTCGCACCACCGCAGAAATTGGAACGTAAACCGCAGAAATTAAAAATGTAAAAAATTTGGGCTGCAATCCAATTAGAATAGTCGACACCGCTACCAACTTGTTAATTTTGCGGGCAAGGTTGTACAACGTTATAAACCAAATAAGAAAGATAAGCCGTCTGAGTTAGTGGGAGGGGGGTTTCCACTCTTTTCGATTTCCCAACAAATAACAACAAGACTGCTCGTATCAGGGCGAAGCCCTGAATGTTCCGACTGCCTTTTAAGGTTTATGGAGCAGTAATAACATTAAAAAATTAAATGTAATAAAACAAAATGAAAATTATTTTTTTTTTCTCAAATTTGAAATTTTTTATGGAAATCATCCCCCCACACGCCATATAAAGTACAAAAGGATAGATTTCGCTCCTTGTAACAAACCAATTATGGCAAATAAACTTCTTTTAACCAATTTGAAACGATTTCTAAGACGGATTAAATCTCCGCTTACGCGTTCATAGCGCGAAATATATCGCGCGTTAATTGTCCCAAATTGGCCAAAATGGTAATCTTTAAACCCCCATAACTTTACGAACAATGATCACAGATTTGAGCTCATGACAACAGTACCTTTCGAATGATATAAAAAAATTCCGTCAAAAATGGCTAGTTAAAAAGTCGAAATTTGTCTGAAGAAAAAAAAACCCACCCCGAGCACAAATATTCCGTAACTTTCGTATCGAAAGTCGGAACAACAAGCGTATATGACTAGTTTTTCAAACTGTACCGATTGGTTATAAGATAAAAAGTAAAATGATCTAGCCACAATATTTGAACGGTGCTCGCATAAAACCCAAAGACCTGCAGATCACAATTTATCGATTTAACGCTAGCGGTTTAGGTATACGATTCAATAAATCAATACTTTGATGAACCAAAACGGCAAACAAAGTTTGCGGACAGAGAAGCGCAATTGACTCTCGTAACATGAAATATCAGGGCTCTGATAGTCTTGCTTGCTGTGGAACTGACGGATGAACATAACTACAGTTGGATAACGACCATCCGGAACTACAGGATGCCTAGTGATGAAGTTTTTTCCTACTAGTTAGTTTTAATGTAAATGCTGTTAACACCCGAAAAACCGTTGACAATTTGCTTGCTTAGAAGTGTAATAAAAGGTCAATTCAACTTAGTCATTTGGCGCGACGTGATTACTTACTCAAAAAGTAGTTGAAGTCGATTTTACTTGGTCAGTAAGAAGAACGATAATATTTGTAACAGTTTGCCAAATCTTTTTCTTTGATCAGATATCGTGAGTCAAATTTTTACAAGAAAAAACCCCTCTGGGGTTTCGGGAGATTAAACAAAGTCTGGCATCGATTTGAAGACGGGAACATTTGTTTGATTACCTGTGGTGGAAAAGGGGACTTCTGGCGTCCGAGTCCAGATCCGGGAACGCCTCCAGGTCAGCCAGGTCCAACTCAGACTTGAAGATCCGCCCAGTGACCTGAATTAGAGATAAACTCACCATTATCTGAAATGACTTCAAAAAATCTTACAAATTATTAGCAAAATCAATTGAAAAAGAAAAGAAATATCCAAAAAAATTCAATGAAAAAAATGCTTATACAATTTTCATAAATGGAAATCCTATGATAAACATTTTTTCTATAGAACCCATGCATGGAATTGTATGATAAGCATTTTTTTGTATGGAATTGTATGATAAGTATTTTTTGTGTATGGAATTGTATGATAAGCATTTTTTTAAATGGAATTGTATGATAAGCATTTTTTTGTATAGGGTCAACCCGGGTATACGTGAGCTTATATGTTTGTAGCTAGTTGTCGCGCACCGTACCTTGCATATGCGACAGTTGTCAGGCAGGAACCGCACTTGGTCTATGTAGATGTCGAAGTCATCCTGGTTGGAGATCACAGCTGGCAGAGACTCCAGAGTCTTCAGGTTAAACGGGGTCCAGAAGGTGCGCTTAGGAAATATCTGGTCCCTAGAAATTAAAATTAGAACTTAAAATTCATTGTATTCTGGAGATATGGTTAACTTTTTTGAAGAAACAAAACAAAAGTTAGCACTTATTTCTTTTCAAGTATCAAGTATCACTTTCAATAAGTTATAACTTTTATACAACCTCGTTAACTTTTGACTCTTTTAACCATTTAAAAATTTTTTTTTTAAATGTTGCTACGATCCGATTCATTTGGAGCAGCCCTCCCTCAATCTGGGTTGGCAAGTGTGTTCAAAGGGCTTCCCTTTCGGTACCATTTTAGAACATTGATTTTCGGCCGACTCATGAAAATTTTGCGCCTTTGGCGCCAATGCATACAAATTTCAAGGAGGTGCGCATGTCAAAAAAACTTAATTTTTTGGTCAAAATTTTCGGTTTTTTGTTTCATTTTGCTTGCGGCGCAGAAACTTTTGGCCAAATCGTCTTTACAGAGTATTTTAAGAGCTCGGAAAGTCAATTCGGTCTGCCTAAAAAAGGTCGACCAAATTTCTAATTTGGAACCTGATCTAAACTACATTTTATGATTGGATAAATTAGATATTTTACCATTGTAAAGTATTTAATATTAACCAATCATGATCCATCTAACTAACAACCCACTTATTTGTAAGTGCTGAAATTACTTGTAATTTCAGCACCAGAGAGATTTGAATTTAACTTAGAAATTAGTTGACTCTCCAAGAGAACTTCAGCAGCCGCAATAAACCAGTGTACCCTAGATCTATTGAGCCTAGCAGAGACTAGTTAAACAACCTGAGACTAGATAAGTATAAGAGTAAGATTAGGATCGGTATTAGACTAAGAAGTTGCACGAATCTATCCGGCCGAAAATAAGATAGCGTGACGAGCAGACGGTGTACCCTATCCGAAATTACTCTATGAGTTAACCACCTCGGTTATAACTCATCTGGTGCGAAGGAACATAAACGAAGGAACATCATATATACCAGTTGATTTTCAAAAAAGTAAAAGTCAACCTGGTGGACATCTAAAGCCCCATAACACTAGAAGCACACGTTTACAAGAACTATCACTAGTCCCACGAAATTTTCGAAATTTAGCAATAACACATAATCCAAATTTTAGACCGACCATATCACAAAGTCCCATTCAACATATAATGACACACCATCCACTAGATGAAAATACATATGAACAAATTATAGAACAACCCCATACCACCGCTTTTCAGTCTCAAAATAATAATTTTTTTAGCCCACGATGAGCCGACAACTTGGATCCCTACACCGCTCAAATTCCCACCCGACCAACCTCAACACTCCAATTACAATAGTTCCACTTTTTGCTTTCCCGCCACCCGATTTCCCAACCAATAATGTAACATCAGGCATGAATTCAGACACTAATTCACATATCTGAGTTTTGTACTCCATCTCACAACTCAATAACCCAGATATTGAAACCCCTGATGAATTTGCAGACTCTGAACCATCTCCATCCAATAATTTTCAAACCAACTCCTCAGTTTTTTCAAAACCCATTTTTCAACCAATCCCGCCAAATAACCCACTCCCATCCATTTCTACACCCTCTTATGCTTCGCAAGTCACCCCAACCTACTCTTCATTTCATTCAGACCGATCATCCAATTCTCCAGATACTCCCGGAATCTCCCAGGAACTAGATAATTTTATCACCCTACAACAACAACCCTTCCACCTTGAAAATTCCACTATAAACCAGATTTCATCCACAATAGAATCATTAAACCCACCTACCCCTACACCCTCTTCAGCTTATACCGCATCATTAGCAACATCCTCCACATCCACCGAATCATCAAATAGCACTAATAGAGCTTATCGCACTTTCAAAAGAAAATTCCCGAACCATCCATTTCCAACAAAACCAGGAACAGCCCGTGAATATATTAATCATCCAAATCACACTAACACGAAAGATTTTTTAGCCATCACCCTACCCTCATTTCCACAGTATACTTTGAACACCCCTAACGACACTAACAACACACGCAGTTTTGTAGATGAACACGTTTTAATGCCTACACTTCAATGGACATCATATTATCATTTTACTAACCCCCTTTGCCTACCTTTATCTAATACTCACATCGATATAGAAAGAAATAAAGATATGCTATATCGACTCACCACACCACTAACACATAGACAATTAACTTATATAGGATATAAAAAGTCACTAAAAACATACACTGCACCCCGAGCTAACGAATACACGCTAGAATATTACGCTCACAACATCATCCGAACTAACCAATACCAATTTTTAGATGATGACCGTTTCGCTAACCCACAAATCACAGAAAAATTTTTCATCAAAACACCATATGTATTTACACTCAATATATTTGATCGCAAATTCGACCACATCATTTCTGAAGCACTAACCGACACACAAGCTTACGAAAGTTTTAAAGAAAAATTTCAATTATTTTCACTAACCTTTCATTTCCTTGCACCACACGAACGAGATTTGCACTGCTCACACGACATTATGTTACGCACTAAACAAACCTACACATATACATATTATCGCTTCATACAAAATCACTTTGATCTACACACTCCATCAAGACAACCACACCACCGTTTTCAATTTATTAACTCTAAGTACACTTCACCATTTTTTCTTAACTTCACATATTGCATCAAAGATACTAACCTTCACGGTATTCTTCGCAATTATGATCCCATAACCCAAATGTATATTTTTTGTCCCATCACAAAGACCTTCAACGCAGACGAATCCAGACCCTTCCTTATCCCACATGAATTTGTTCAACCTATAGAAATCCCCATATTAGAATTCATCCACAAGACTAAATATAACCACAAATTATATAATCTCATCCAAAACACACCCTATGAGTTTGCAGTTGGCACTGAAGAACTAAAAACCATTAAAGCACTTCAATTGCTTTGGCCACTGCTTCAAACTAAAAACATCATTGTCATACTAGCAAAGTTACTAACAAATTCCGACATAATCCACGACATCTTCCCCCACGGTTTTTTCCCCGACAACTAACAGGTAAGTATAATTGATACATATTCTTAACTAATAAATTTAAAATAAAACACTAACCATTCTTTATCCATGTTTTATTTAGATTTTTAGTCTTCATCTCACGATCATCTGCAAAATACAATAAAGAAAGATAAAAAATCGAAAACTTCTTCAAATTCTTCAAAACTCTATTAATATTTTATACTAGATAAATTCAATAAAATTCATACCAATGTAGAAAATTAATTTATAAATTATTTCCCTAAAAGCAGTAATTCTAATAATGATGAAAATTTGTAACTTAATTTTTCCCCAAAACTAGCAGTAAAATTGAAATTCTATGTAGTAAATTGATAAAACGCAAATGCAGTACTAACCTTTTGATATTCCATTCACTCGCACAAGAATTCTATCCATACTCGCACAGCTCGCCCACGAAGAATTGTTTCAATAATGAATTTCAGTTTCAAGCTTTCACACTCAACAACTCTAACACACGATAACAAGTTTCAAACTTTCCTTTAACCCGGTTGGAAAGGAATTATATACTAAACAAAACTAACCAACGCAGCTTACTAAACACCACAACACATAGAATAACAGCATGACTAAGAAAAGGAAACCAACGGTACCCAAACCGGATTAACCCAGTTTAAAACTGGATAATTTATTCTTTTGAAGACTATTATAAAGTCTAAGAAAGAAATAATAAAACACAAAAAAGTCGAAAGACAAACCCATACCAAAAACAATTTGACTTTTGAAAAAAGGACACAACCAACGAAACATAAGAAAAACCACAATAAACCCAACATAAAACGTTATCACATAACAGGACCTCTCACAGAAACCGCACGAAATCATACTCCCACTCCTGGCCTAACCCACCAGAGAGGACGTCCTGAGCATGCTCTATAGCCGGCCTAACCCACCGCGCTACATCCACGCTTTGTGACCACACTTCTATTTTTAATAAGAGGTACTCAAGGGTGAGTAACTCTTCAAAATAACTGAACTAAAACAAAAAGCTTTTGTGAAAAACTAACCAAAATCATAATTAAAACACCAAACTAATAAAAATTTTATAAAATGTAAATTATACCTTGCAGTATATAGATCAGCATACAACACCAAAGACGAACATCCAAAGACAAAATGACCCCACTACACTCGAAAAAGAATGGCCAACCACAATCAATATGCCGCCCACAATCACAACTCAAAGGATTTAGAGTACGACTTGACTTCGCAGAAAAGGACTTCATTGAACTAGACCAATGACCACCTCGATGTTCAAGTATACGTACAGATCCGAGTAACCAGGCATCCCCTCCACGCACAATCTCCACGCCATTCCCAGACAAGGTCAACCCAAAAGAAGTTCTCTACATGGAACAGAAAAACCTGTCATAGCCAACCATTCTGAAATCAGATTTGAGTTTGTTGCGAAAACCCAGTCGTTGTCATGAGAAGACACAGCGATTGAACCTGGAACTTCTCTAACACAAAAACCCAGAAGAATTATGATGTTCGCCAAATACCAACGTCCATCATCCATCCTTTGAATTACAGAAAGACTATTCTAAAAAACTCTGTAAAACCCGGATGGGTGGAACCTGATCTAAACTACATTTTATGATTGGATAAATTAGATATTTTACCATTGTAAAGTATTTAATATTAACCAATCATGATCCATCTAACTAACAACCCACTTATTTGTAAGTGCTGAAATTACTTGTAATTTCAGCACCAGAGAGATTTGAATTTAACTTAGAAATTAGTTGACTCTCCAAGAGAACTTCAGCAGCCGCAATAAACCAGTATACCCTAGATCTATTGAGCCTAGCAGAGACTAGTTAAACAACCTGAGACTAGATAAGTATAAGAGTAAGATTAGGATCGGTATTAGACTAAGAAGTTGCACGAATCTATCCGGCCGAAAATAAGATAGCGTGACGAGCAGACGGTGTACCCTATCCGAAACTACTCTATGAGTTAACCACCTCGGTTATAACTCAAATTTTCAAAAAAAATTGGAAAAACTGTTCCCTTTAAAAAAACTCCAGGGAATATCACTGAATTCGTCGAGCTATCAGTAAATGCCTCAATTATAATTCTGTATTTACCTTCGACCTCTTGGGGTGCCAGAAGGAGAAGGGGTAATGCGGTCATCCGGCCTGAAGATATTGCACTCAATGTAGGAACAATCACTCGCCAACACAACTAAAAGCAAGGTAATATTTTATCAAGATGTCAAAATATTGTTAATACTGTTAAGATGAGGGAAAAAATGACAGAAATTGTTTCTCTATTTGTTGCAGAGAGCCGAATGTTTGTAAAGGAGCCTTTTGTTAGTGTCGGCCAAGAGTTGAACGAAAATAACCTCATTGTTCTGTCCATTGAAAATGGGGAGGAACTTTGTATTCAGGTGTTTTAGTTTTTTTTTTTGTTTTTGTTTTCCACGCAAATTCAAGTATCACAAAAAATCGTCGGACTGGGTTGAGGGATATATCATATTAAAGCCCTTAAAGCCACATTACAAAATTTTCCTCTTAACTCGAGCGAAGAAAGCAAGCGAGCAGGCTTACAACAGCTGAAATGCCTAATTTAAGACCTTAAAACTTAATTTTAAGCAAGTTAAACTAGTTTTTGGAGTTTTTAGCTGCAATTGGGGAACCAAAAACTTCAAAAATTTTATGCAAAAAATGTTGAACTTATTTTTTAATTTTTATTTTAGTTTTTCCAGTCAGATTTGCCCATATTACTATGACTGTTTAACATGCCTAAATTATCTTTTTTCGTCAGATTCTTTTATCATACCAAGCAGAAAGAACTACATCAATTTGGAAAAAACTTTGTAAACCGTGGTTTTCTAACGACTGTGGTGGGAACATTCTATGCTACTTGCACAGTAGCTGGCTATCCTTGTTACTGTGTTGCTTAATACTAATTTCACCTTACAAACTTTTTCAAGGGCATTTTTATCTGGTACGATTTTGAATTGGCTTACTTTCTGAACCATGAATTTTCATTCTAATATAAACAGTTTTGTACTATAATTGAAAACTGTTCTGATATTTGTAAATTTATCAAATCAGATTTTGAATAATTGTTTCTGGGCTTTCGGTTTTGATTGAACCGTTTCGTCTTGGCTGTGCCTCTGTGCAGGGGCGGATCTAGGATTTTCTCGAGGGGGGGGGGCGGATTTTCGAAAAATTTTCCAAAATTTTGACGACCTTTTTTTTTTTTTTAGGTCGACCAAATTGATTTTTCGAGCTCTCCCAAAGCACTGTTTTGGCCCTACTCTTTGGCAAAAGTTTCTCCGCCGCAGGCAAATTTTTAAAAAAACAGTCAAAAAAGCCGTTTTTGGGCACTTTTTGAAAAATTTTTGACAAAAAAATTGCGTTTTTTTTGGCGCGCACTCCCCCTCTAAATTAGTATATATTGGCGCCGAAGGCGCCTTTAGAAAAATTTTAGGGTCGGTCCACCAAAAATGGATTTCTGAAAAAGTATCAAAGGGGGGACCCTTTGGGTCGGCAGGGGGTCGAATCCCTGAGGGGGGGGGGGGGCGCCCGCCCCCCCCCCGCCCCCCCTAAATCCGCCCCTGCCTCTGAGTGTCATATACTGGGTTATGATGAAATCGTGTTGATTATTTTTTTAAGTTTTAATAATTTTTTTAATTGAAATAGTTTCAGCTTGTTTTATCGGCTTAGTGAACTTTTTTTTATCATTCGAAATGCAAAAGGTGATCATTATTTTAAAATATAATTTTGGTGTTAAAGTTAAGTTTTAACTTCAATCTCTCAAAACTTTGTATTACAACAGTTTCTGGCTTTTTTTCGGATCTGTGAGTTCTACCTACGTGTTTGTTGGTTTAGTGGCTGCTCAGTCAATACGAAAGCTTATTTTACGCGGTATTTGTGTTTCGCGGCTGTTTTTCTGATTTATCGTCTTAATTCGAGCGAATAAAGCAAATGAGCAGGCTAAGAACAGCTGAATTATGCCTTATTTAAGACCTCGAATTTAAGGCCTTGAAAAACTAAATTTTTTAGAGTTTTTTATTAGAGTTTTTTAGGTTCATCTTAAGAACCAAAATTTTCAAGTTTTCTGAGAAAATTGGGAAAATTTTTCAAAAAAAAAATTAAAAGTATTTCAAGTCAATGATCTGCAAAAACTTTTGTCCAATTTGCCAACATTACTATGACTGTTTAATTTGCCTAAACTATATTTTTATAACAGATCTTTTTATCACACCAAGCAGAAAAAACTACAGTAATTTGGAAAAAAAACTTTCTAAACCGTAGTTTTCTAAAGACTATGGTCGGAACATTCTGTACTACTTGCACAGTAACCCGCTATCCTTGTTTTTATCTTGAATATTTATCATCCTTAGTTTATTGTCAATTTGATTATTTATGATTATGAAGAAAACAAATGGCAAAAACAAATGAACACAAACAGATCGTTTTTAATGATATTTGAACTTTTTTTCTACATTTATTTTTAGATCAGAAAAACGCAATGTTCTTACACTTTTGGTTGTTGTCCAGAGCTTGTGAACTGATATTGGGGGGCAGGTACCCAGGGGTCAAATCTACCTTGACAGTCTCGAAGGGGGGCTCCCAGAACGCCCTGCCACTCTCGTCCTCCCGCTTCCACATGTCCACCCTCGCATAGCCCAGCTGTATGGCCCGAGGGGCTATGGACCCCGGTGGCGCTTGTGCAGCGAGAATGCCACCGACTGAAACATGCAATTCAGTAACGTTTAAATTTGGATGAATTTTTTACTTGAATGAGTTTTAACTTGATGAATTTTAACTTGGATGAACTCTCACGTCATCACACAAACACATTCTCGACCGCTTTGTTGTCGCCCGTTACTTCAAAACCAGTAATTTCTCACTCCCCAAAACACTTCGACGTCGACGTTGTACCAGCCAGAGGAGAAACTAACATTTTCTCGAGGAAGGGTGTAGTCCCCTTCAAAATTAGCATTTATTGGCGCTCAGAGCAGAGCGCCTTTAGAAACATTTTAGAATTGGTCGGCTGAAAATGGATGTCATAAAGCAACACCAAAGGGGGTTGATTCCGCACCCTAAATCCGCCTCGAATCCCAGCCGCTCCTGTCTCTCCCTTTAGCTGTTGATATCAGATGCCATTTCATCCTTTTTTTCAGAGCTTTTCATTACATTATTCATATAATAACTCATTTAATTTCATTTTTTTTTCTATTTCAAAACAATGTGGAGTTTACTTCTGTTTTCTTTTGTTTCTCAAATTTTGTTTTTGGTCCAGAAAGATCAAAAACCCAATCAGAGTCAGCGCGAAATCAAAGGAAAGATAAATATTTAGTATCTTTTATTTTTACCACCAATCACTATAAAAACTAATGTCTGTCTAACTGAGTTAGGACCGATGTGGTTAACTCATAGAGTAATTTCGGATAGGGTACACCGTCTGCTCGTCACGCTATCTTATTTTCAGCCGGATAGATTCGTGCAACGTCTTAGTCTAATACCGATCCTAATCTTACTCTTATACTATCTAGTCTCAGGTTGTTTAACTAGTCTTTGCTAGGCTCAATAGATCTAGGGTATACTGGTTTATTGCGGCTGCTGAAGTTCTCTTGGAGAGGCAACTAATTTCTAAGTTAAATTCAAATCTCTCTGGTGCTGAAATTACAAGTAATTTCAGCACTTACAAATAAGTGGGTTGTTAGTTAGATGGATCATGATTGGTTAATATTAAATACTTTACAATGGTAAAATATCTAATTTATCCAATCATAAAATTTAGTTTAGATCAGGTTCCACCCATCCGGGTTTTACAGAGTTTTTTAGAATTATCTTTCTGCAATTCAAAGGATGGATGATGGACGTTGGTATTTGGCGAACATCATATTCTTATCCGGTTTCTCTTGTTAGAGAAGTTCCAGGACGCTGGAATGATGGATATCAATCGTTGTGTCTTCTTGTGACAACGACTGTGTTTCCCAACGAAATCAATCTGATTTCAGAATGGTTTGCTATGACGGGTTTTTCTGTTTTATGTAGAGAACTTCTTTTGTGTTCGACCTCGTCTGGGAATGGCGTGGAGATTGTGCGTGGAGGGGATGCCTTGTTACTCGGATCTGTACGTATACTTGAACATCGAGGTGGTCATTGGTCTAGTTCAATGAAGTCCTTTTCTGCGAAGTCAAGTCGTACTCTAAATCCTTTGAGTTGTGATTGTGGACGGCATAGTGGTTGTGGTTGGCCATTCTTTTTCGAGTGTAGTGGGGTCATTTTTTTTGGATGTTCGTCTTTGTTGTTGTATGCTGATCTATATACTGCAAGGTATAATTTACATTTTATAAAATTTTTATTAGTTCAGTGTTTTAATTATGATTTTGGTTAGTTGTTTTCACAAAAGCATTTTGTTTTAGTTCGGTTATTTTGAAGAGTTACTCACCCTTGAGTACCTCTTATTAAAAATAGAAGTGTGGTCACAAAGCGTGGATGTAGCGCGGTGGGTTAGGCCGGCTATAGAGCATGCTCAGGACGTCCTCTCTGGTGGGTTAGGCCAGGAGTGGGAGTATGATTTCGTGCGGTTTTTGTGAGAGGTCCTGTTATGTGATAACTTTTTATGTTGGGTTTATGGTGGTCTTTCTTATGTTCCGTTAGTTGTGTCCTTTTTTCAAAAATCAAATTGTTTTTGTTATGGGCTTGTCTTTCGACTTTTTGGTGTTTTATTATTTCTTTCTTAGACTTTATAATAGTCTTCAAAAGAATAAATTATTCAGTTTTAAACTGGATTAATCCGGTTTGGGTACCGTTGGTTTTCTTTTCTTAGCCATGCTGTTATTCTATGATTTGTGGTGTTTAGTAAGCTGCGTTGGTTAGTTTGGTTTAGTATATAATTCCTTTCCAAACGGGTTAAAGGAAAGTTTGAAACTTGTTATCGTGTGTTAGAGTTGTTGAGTGTGAAAACTTGAAACTGAAATTCATTATTTAAACAATTCTTCGTGGGCGAGCTGTGCGAGTTTGGATAGAATTCTTGTGCGAATGAATGAAAATATCAAAAGGTTAGTACTGCATTTTCGTTTTATCAATTTACTACATAGAATTTTAATTTTACTGCCAGTTTTGGGGAAAAGTTAAGTTACAAATTTTCATCATTATTAAAATTACTGCTTTTGGGGAAACAATTTATAAATTAAATTACTACATTGGTATGAATTTTATTATATTTATCTAGTGCAAAATATTAATAGAGTTTTAGAAGAATTTTAACAAGTTTTTTATTTTTTATTTTTTTTTCTGTTTTTTACAGATGATCGTGGGATGAAGACTAAAAATCTAAATGAGACATGAATAAAGAATGGTTAGTATTAATTTAAATTTATTAGTGAAGAATATGTATAAATTATACTTACCTGTTAGTCGTCGGGGAAAAAACCATGGGGAAAGATGTCGTGTATGATGTCGGAATTTGTTAGTAATTTTGCTAGTATGCGAATGATGTTTTTAGTTTGAAGCAGTGGCCAAAGCAATTGAAGTGCTTTAATAGTTTTTAGTACTTCAGTGCCAACTGCAAACTCATAAGGTGTGTTTTGAATGAGATTATATAATTTGTGATTGTATTTAGTGTTGTGGATGAATTCTAATATTGGGATTTCTATAGGTTGGATAAATTCATGTGGGATAAGGAAGGGTCTGGATTCTTCTGCGTTAAGGGTCTTCGTGATGGGACAAAATATATACATTTGGGTTATGGGATCATAATTGCGGAGGATACCGTGAAGGTTAGTATCTTTGATGCAATATGTGAAATTAAGAAAAAATGGTGAAGTGTATTTAGAGTTAAGAAACTGAAAACGGTGGTGTGGTTGTCTTGATGGAGTGTGTAGATCAAAATGATTTTGTATGAAGCGATAATATGTATATGTGTGGGTTTGTTTAGTGCGTAACATAATGTCGTGTGAGCAGTGCAAATCGCGTTCATGTGGTGCAAGGAAGTGGAAGGTTAGTGAAAATAATTGAAATTTTTCCTTAAAACTTTGGTAAGCTTGCATGTCGGTTAGTGCTTCAGAAATGATGTGATCAAATTTTCGATCAAATATTTTGAGAGTAAATACATATGGTGTTTTGATGAAGAATTTTTCTGTTAGTTGTGGGTTAGCGAAGCGATCATCATCTAAAAATTGGTCTTGGTTAGTTCGGATGATGTTATGATCGTAATATTCTAGCGTAAATTCGTTAGCTCGGGGTGCAGTGAATGTTTTTAGTGACTTTTTATATCCTATATAAGTAAATTGTCTATGTGTTAGTGGTGTGGTGAGTCGATATAGCATATCTTGATTTCTTTCTATATCGTTGTGAGTATTAGATAATGGTAGGCAAAGGGGATTAGTAAAATGATAGTATGATGTCCAATGAAGTGTAGGCATTAAAATATGTTCATCTACAAAACTACATGTGTCGTTAGTGTCGTGAGGGGTGTTTAAAGTGTATTGTGGAAATGAATGTAAGGTGATTGCTAGAAAATCTTTCGTGTTAGTGTGATGTGGATGATTAATATATTCACGGGCTGTTCCTGGTTTGGTTGGGAATGGATGGTTTGGGAATTTTCTTTTAAAAGTGCGATAAGCTCTTTTAGTGCTATTTGATGATTCGGTGGAAGTGGATGATTGTGCTAATGATGCAGAATAAGCTGAAGAGGGTGTAGGGGTAGGTGGGTTTGAGGATTCTATTGTGGAAGAAATCTGATTTATAGTGGGGGTGTTAAGGTGTAATGGTTGTTGTTGTAGGGTGATAAAAAAATCTAGTTCTTGGGAGATTTGAGGAATATCTGGAGAATTGGATGATCGGTCTGAATGAAATGAAGAGTAGGTTGGGGTGACTTGTGAAGCATAAGAGGGTGTAGAAATGGATGGGGGTGGGTTATTTGGTGGGATTGGTTGAAAAGGGGGTTTTGAAAAAATTGAGGAGTTGGTTTGAAAATTATTGGATGGAGATGGTTCAGAGTCTGCAAATTCATCAAGGGTTTCAATATTAGGGTGATTGAGTTGTGAAATGGAATATAAAACTGAAATATTTGAATTAGTGTCTGAATTCATGCCTGATGTTATATTACTAGTTGGGAAATCGGGTGGCGGGAAAGCAAAAAGTGGAATTATTGTAATTGGAGTGTTGAGGTTGGTTGGATGGGAATTTGAGCGGTGTAGGGATCCAAGTTGTCGGCTCATCGTGGGCTGAAAAAATTATTATTTTGAGACTGAAAAGCGGTGGTATGGGGTTGTTCGATAATTTGTTCATATGTATTTTCATCTTGTGAATGATGTGTCATTTTATGTTGTATGGGACTTTGCGATATGGTTGGTCTAAAATTTGGATTATGTGTTATTGCTAAGTTTCGAAAATTTCGTGGGACAAGGATAATGGATGGTTATGTGGTAGGGGTGGTAACTGTGGTGCTGTAGGCGTTATTTCTATATTATTATGTTCTTCGTCGTACGTGTTCTGTCTTGTCGCTATTTTTGTATTGTATTCTTTTATTTGTGCGTCTAAAAGAATTTTGTTTATTGATGATGAGAAAATTCCAAAAAATCCTGCAAATAGTATGCGTGTTACACTTGCTTGTCTATTTACCTGTGTGTGTATAGCGCATGTATTATAGATTCCTTTTAAAAGTGAAAAAAGAAATCCTATAAAGTTAAACATTGCGTATAGAATAGTCAATTTTTCTAAGATGTAATAGGGC